TTCCAGGGGGTACTCAACTCATCTAGATCAGTGTTTTTCAACCTGGGGGTTGCAGCCCTTGGGGGATGGGGGGGTCCACAGGACGTGTTTAGGGGGATTGCAAGTGCAGGGCTGGCATAAAGGGGTGGCAAGCAGGGCAACTGCCCAGGGCCCTACACCACAGGGATTGCTGCAAAGCTAAGTAGCATGCTTCAGCCCTGCTGCCTGGGGCTCAAGCTTCTGACAAGGCTTCCAAGTGAAAAACAGGCTCTAATATCACAATGAAATGCAAGTAAAATATTTATATTCCAATTGATTTATTTTATAATTATATGAGAAAAATGAGAAAGTCAGCAATTTTTCAATAATAGTGTGATGTGACACTTGTGTCTGATTTTGTAAGCAAGTAGTTTTTAAGTGAGGTGAAACTTGCGGTACACAAGACAAATCAGACTCCTGGAAAGGGGTACAGTAATCTGGAAAGGTTGAGAAGCACAGCTCCGTGTGGCTCCCTGCAGGGCACTGCCAAGCACACAGAGACAGGCCTTCTGATTGAGGACTAAAAGTATAAAGGAGAATTTCTGTTTTTAAAGTACACTTCTAGCTCTTTTCTAGATAGCCCTGATAATGTCTACCAGTGTAAACCGATCAGTAGGATTGGTGAAAGAAAACAGAACTTGGGATCCACTTCGGCAACAGGGAGCTGGAGGGCACCTAGAGTTCTCCAACTAACACCTAACATAAAACAAATCAGTTATGCTTGGAATGCATCCCAAGGAATTATCCTATCCACTCAACACATCCCCGTGCATAGCTATATGATCACGGTGGACAGGAATGGGTTACGTTTTGAAATAGTAATGATACAAACTTTTTTCATAGGCCCACCTGTTCGGATTGGTGGCTTCTAAATGTTAAGGATGATGGCTCTGGCTCACCTATCTGACAACTGTTCTTCAGTGCAGCAGTGGTGACAAAAGGTAGGTTATTCTTCAGCCTCTGCTGTTAGTGGAAGCTGCAGGCAAGATGTCCTGCCCTATCTAGCTGTAAGGCAGTTGGTAGATGTAGATGGGACTATATTCTTCTGGTGATGGGCTTGGATAATTAGTTGGGAAACAGGCCCCCTTTGGTTCTTGATGTGAACATGTCTCCTATCTGCTTACAGTCTCCCCTAACTAATGAGAGTCTCCGCGACGGCACAGAAGCAGTAGTGAAGGGGGAGGGGCGGGGGAGGAATGTAAAAAAAACCTACCCTAACTAGGAATTCTTGGTCACAAGGGGCACATACTAAAGGCTCTTCTTCCATAAAGGTGTATTGTGTCAAGAGCTGAAGCTTCAGGACACATCAGAAGACCACACACATGAACCAAGCTTAAGTGTATATGGTGACAGAACTGTGCACACTTTTTATTATTTTCTCATCAAGGAGAAAGTTTGTTAGTTGCAGCAGGCATGGCAAGTTAAATGAAAATTTTAAAGGCTGAATTTCTAGTAGCCTGTTAACCAAAAGTGAACCTGAAGCGATACCAAACAAACCAATTCAAACATGATTCCAGGCAGTCAATTCCTTAATGTCTTGCTGTACAATGAGAAGCCAGAACGAATGCACTATATTACCAAATTCACGTTGACAAATACTAGGCACAACCCAGAAAAAAAAAAATAAAGGTGAGGTTAATAGATCAGGGAAAGTAATTGGAAGATGTGGTGACAATATATGTTCCTCAAAGGGTATATATTGTCTCCCACATGGAGAAGATATCCTCTAAGGGTATGTCTACACAGCAAAGGAAAACCCAAGGCTGGCCCATGCCAGCCATCTCGGGGTTGTGGGGCTCAGGCTATCAGGCTGCTTCATTACTGTGCAGACTTCTGGGCTCTGTCTGGAACCCAAACTCTGTGAACCTCCCACCCCACAGGGTCCTACAGCCTGGGTTTCAGCCCGAGCTCACAATTCTACACAGCAATGAAACAGCCCCACAGCCTGAGCCGGATTCAGCTGACACGAACCAGCCATTGGACTTTCTTTGCTGTGCAGACATACCCTTTGAGGATTTCTTCTCGATGTGGAATCAGGTTGGATTCTCAATTATCCCCAGTAACCTTTCAACAAGTAGCTAAGATCACTTGAACCCTTTCTCACACATTACATCATTCTCTTTCAAATGCTGACCTTGTAACAATAATTCTTACTTCTGTCACATCAAGACTGGACTACATTCTACTTGGAGCTCCATTTTAAATCCACTGGGAAGCTAACATTAATGTGGCAACCCACTCAGCAAGTAGAGCATCCTATTATAAGATTATTGTTTCAGTGCTCCCAGATCTGTCCTGGCTGCCTGCAGATTTCCAGGTGGAGTTGAAGGTACAATTTGTAGATATACAAATCCCTAAATGACTCAAGGACTTAGACTGCCTCTCTCTACATGACACACTGTTGAAGTCGAGACCTGTGGAGACACTCCAGCCAGAGATCCCTCTCACTAAATTGGCAGGGCATTCTAGATGAGGGACCCTTTCCTCTGGAATACACAAACAAACACACACCCAACTAGAAATAGCCTGGATATGCTGACCTGCACGGGGGTCTCCAAAAATTTTTAGAGGGATTTTTGGAGACAAATGTTATTTGAGGAGTAATGTTTACCGAGGATGGAATGGCTATTTTATCTATATTATGTGGTCCATTCATTTATTTAAGTATGTGAGGTTCCTGCTGAGTCTTCTGTTCATGTTAATTATGCTATTAACTAATTTTCATGAGTGCCAAGAGTATGAGAGAGGTGCCCCTGGTAACTTTACAGATGATGACAGAAGTCATCATTCAAATACAATAAAGATTAATATGGCCTGTTTTTTTCCTGTTTAGTCTTCTAAATACTCAGTTAATAGGTATGCAGACTATGGATTTTATAGAAATGTAGTTATAGAGGAAGGCTATCATAATGCAACTAGCAGCAGTTTAGCAAACTACTTAATGCAATCTGTTTATCTCTGTATCAATCCTCAAACCTTATGTTGAAATAAAAAAAAAAATCACATTTCTTCTTGTCCTATTTTATCATTGAATAACTTGCTTTGGCAACGATGCTAAAGAATACAACTATTCACACCTCATGTATTGCTTTGCCAAAAGCTAGCAGTAAAGCGCCACAAAAGCTTGAATTTTCTCAAGAGATATTCACATAGTAATTTTTTAAAATGTCCCTTGCTTTCTATCACAGAATAGTATAGCATTCATTTACACAACAAAGATAAGAAAGGCACATTATTTCTTCAGTGAAACAGAGCTTCTAGGGCTGAAATGTTGTAGCTGTTTTCCATTTACTGCAATGTTTCCTCGAGACTTGCACTGTACATCTACAGGCCATAAAAGTGCCCTTTCCAAGGACATATACGACAGTACTACTGAAGACACACAGAGGCCTACCTCAAATATGAGTTGATTTCTTTAATATGTTACAGAATCTTGAATATTTGTAATAAAAAATGATGGTACCTAATAATTAAATTATAAGAGTCAGAATTTCAAATTCAGTACTCTGCTTAATAGATTTTTTGTTTTTGTTTGTTTGTGTTACATCAAGTTTTGAGACCAAAGCTAGGTGAAAATTTTAAAAATTGGCCACCTGCATGGCATCTTTGGAAGCTTATGAACTGCTGCTTAACACTTTGACATACACAAATGTTACGCTGCCCAAGAATTGCCAAGCTACGGGTGTTGAAGGCAGAGGACACAGTCCCTATGCACTGATACTGCACAATAAAGACAAATTTACCTTTATATATATCTATCTATCTCATTAGTATATTTTTTGAAGTCACATTTTACATGAGTCTCCTACTTACTCTATTGCTTTTTAAGGATTCTATTGGCCCTAATGCATAGGAGGGAGAAAAGGCTGAATTCTTATTAAGTCGGACCTGAATACATCATTGAATCAATAAATCATACCAACATCCAGAAAACTCATACAAGTTGAGTAGTTAGAGTGTGAAAAGGGTTCCTTGGAATCATTTTATTCCTTTTCTCCATTTCGCTGTCATTTTACTTCCATCTCTTTTCCTGGAGTTCTGAGAAGCCTCCCTAAAATCGCACATGCCAAATCTCTAAATTCCACAGTAATTTAAAAAGCTCAAAATAGACAATTTAGTCTAGAATGAAATAGCAAGCCCTAGTTTTAACACTTTGTTTTCTGCTTCTATTTTCATTAAGGTTTTTATCTAATATGGTAAAGAGTTTGCTTTTTCTCCCTGTCCCTCTTTACCAACAACCTGAAGCTAGTATTAATTTAATTGGTCAGCATACAGCACACTTTCATCTTTATTTCACTATACCGTTCCCCAGTTTGATGCTGGATGTTTTCAAGTCATTCACAGATCGTCTACTCGTTTTACCTCCTCTGCTCTACTCTTCTGCTTCCTAATACCTTCTGGAGATTCTCTCCTTCCTGGTCCTAAAGCCCTTCAAACACACCTTCCTCTACCAAAATAGGTTTTACTTTTCAATGAACAGAGATAGGCAAGAGAGGAACCATTACACTAGGCACGTTATTCCTACTTTTTTTTTAATGGAAAACTTTCCGTGAGTAACCCGGGGCCCCGTGCAGCACCTCACTTCACTGCACAGCCCAGCTCAGCTCATCAAAGGTACTCTGAAGTACGCGACACAGCCACAGCCACACCAGCCCGGCTGCTCAGGACACCTGGCTAGGGAAGCAGGCGATGAGGAACCCTTTCCATGTCACTTACTTTGGGGGCAAGGTGTTACAAAGCGTTAGCGGCTGCGGTGGCAGCCTGGCCCCCCGTAGCTAATGCAGCTGGGGAACCAGGTGCAGGACGGGGCACAGGCCGTGCACAGGAGGACTTTAGCGGAGGGCTGCGCGTCGGCGTCTCCCCCAGCGCCGGGGGGAACAGGACACGCTCCCAGCTGGAGGAAGGGTCGCTGCCAGGGCGCGGCGATGCCAGGCTGGGCCCCGGCGCGGGCAGGGCGGCGCTGGCCCCCGCCGGCCGCTCACCTTGCGCGATGGCGATGGACTCGAAGCGGTGCAGCTCCCGCAGCAGGCAGCTCCGCTCGGTGGAGTGCAGGCTGTAGATGAAGTCGCGGGCGCCCTGCGCCGTGTTCAGCGCCTCGATCGGCTCCTTCTTGGGGTGGGTGCCCAGCGCCCGCGGGCGGCCGGGGGGCGCCAGCCCCGAGGCCGGGGAGGACGAGGCCGGGGGAAGGCGCAGCCCCTCGGACCCGCCGCGCAGGGTGGCCAGGCGGCAGCAGCGGGGGGCCCGTAAGGAGCCCAGGCAGAAAGGGGCGGCGGTGGCGGGGCCCCCCCGGCCGCCCCAGCCGCAGCGCCGCCCGGCTCAGCCACGCCGACATCAGCAGGCAGGGAGCGGCGCTAGGGAGCTACGATCCCGGCCCGGGAGCCCCGCGCGCGGCAGGGCCGGGCACCATCCAGGGCGGAGCCCGGGAGCCGGGAAACGAGCAGCCGCGGCCGGGCTCGGCTCCTTCGTGCGCCGGTGGCCGAGACTAGGGAGGGGGACGCGCCGGGGGGCTCCGCTCGGTCTCTCTGCAGCCGCCTCCTGCGGCTGGGCTCCGGGCTGGGGAAGGGCGAGCCAGTCACAGCTCCCTGCGCCGCCCCATGGAGGCTCCTGGCAGCAGCGCTCTCCCCCGGCCCGGCTGCGAAGGGAACACCCCGGCGGCGCCCGCGGACAGCCGAGGGGGCGGCTCCGCGCAGGCGCCCGGCCGATGCCTGAGCGACGGCGGGAGAGAGACCGGGGGCCCGCCCCTAGCCGAGTGGCGAGCGCCCCGCCCGGCCCCGGCCCCGGCCCCGGCCCGACCCCCACGCCTTGCTCCGAGGCGCGTGGGTGGGGGCGCTCAGCCCCAGGGGAAGCCCGGGGAGGCTCCTCCCGCCGTGCTCAGCAGCACCCCCGCCCCCGGGCTCTCCGCCTGGGCGGGCTCCCCTCCGGTCCCAGTGCTCCCTTGGGTCAACCCCGGCCGAGGAGCGGGTTCGTGCCCGGCTCCGCCACTCGGTGGCCTGGGCGCTGCCCGTGGGGTTTCCCCGGCCCGCTGGTGCCAGGGGAGCGAGCCGCTGCGGCGCTCAAGCGCTGGGCAGCCCGGGCGTGTCTCAGCAGCGAGGCTGGACTCAGCGGGAGCGGGGCTTTGTTTGGGCGCGGCGAGCTTGGCCGGCGTTTATACCGCGCTGGGGTCCGGGAAGTAGAACACAGCGAGCGTCTGACCCGCCTCGGGCTTCCTCGTGCGACCTGGGGCCGTTATCCCGTGTCAGTGTGTCCCGGGGGAGTCCGCCCCGCCGCCCCGCTCCCTTCCCCCGGGATTATGGGTGAGCTCGCGTCTGTTTTTAGTGGGTGGGGCTGTCGCACAGTGGAGGGGAGGGACCTGTGTGACCTGGCACGTGCTCTGAGGGCTGCATGCGTGCTCTCTCAGAGGGCTGGGTTAAGATGCTGTTTACTTACACATCGTGTTCATGGGGTACCGCTCTCTCCCTCGGGGGAGGGAGTCTAGTTTCAGGCAGTGAACCTCAGAGAGCTGTCCTCTCTGTTTTCTGTAGATTACACAGAGATGGTGTGCCAGGTTTAGGCACGTGGTTTCTGATCTTCCAAAACCCATGCTCCTGGGCAAGCTTGAATCATCTCAGAAGTGTGTCATCGTTGTAACTAAAACTGGCAGATTCAAATCAGATTTTTTTTTGGGGGGGGGAACTATTTCCTGTTATTACTAATAAATTTGATAAGTAATAGCTTAACATTGATATAGCGATTTACATAATCAAAACGTTACAAACATCAGCAAATCAATACCCTATCATTTAGGCAGTGGAAAACAAACTGTGTTTCACTTCGGTTTCTTCATCCCTTTTCTCTTCTCTTCCGCCTCCCTCCCCCCATGCAACAGGACAATGCTGCAACATTTGGATTGCAATCACTGCAGGGGAATTGTTTTTAAATTAAAAGACAGTTCTTTTTTATAAATGCAAAGATTTCAGATTTCTAATTAGGTTTTGCAATAAAAATGTATTCGTATTTTTTTTAAATGAGTACTAACTATCCAGTATGATCCTAAAGTGCAATCTTTTTCATCAGAACACTCTAGGACAATTATGTGCCAAAGTTTTAAAGGAATTGGGAAGCTTTTTAAATACACTAACATGCAATCTGGTATTTTTATTGTCCTGGAAATTAATTTATGTGCAAAGAAAGTGTCAGGCCTAAATTCATAGTCAGGAGTGTCCAGGCCCTGACAGGTGGCAACCCATTTGTTTAGCTTGCTTTAAAAAAAAAAAAAAAGACACATTGCAATTATTGGTTTTTACATTTTAACTGTTCAGGATCTCAAGCGCTTCTGCTACAAGGGGTTTATTTATAAAGTTCTTTATATTGTTGCTGGTTCTTTTAATTGAAAGAATAACAAAGACTTCTGGAAGGTGGAAGCAAGTCCAGATAGTGCAGCATAGTGTCTGCTACTTTTCTGGGGAGAGTGCCCAGGCCACTTCTCCTCTCTCCATCCATTCTGAGGAGAAGTTAGAAGCACGTGACTGTAAATGCAGCAGCTGTCCAACAGCTGCAGAGGATTAATATCAAGTTCTGTGACAAAGAGGTCACAATAAGTGGGGTTTCTTCTATGGTGCATATATAATAAATGATGCACTGCTTGTAATTTTCAGCCTACTAAGGGAAACAACAGAAGAAGATGGGTGTTGGCTTGTATGTCTAGTTAAACATGTTTTTATCAGGCAGCCAACTGGTTTTGGAGCACTATCTCATTTCTGAAACTCAAGAAAAATGTCACTGTTCTTTAATCTATTCTCCCTGCTCTTATTCCTTGTACAGAAAAGTTAAGCTTTTGATGACAGCCTGGGCATATTTTTAGTATCTGTGATGCCTTATTAAAAACATAACTATCTGGTGAGTTATGCTGATATCAATATTTTACACATATAGAGATCTTTATTAATATTAACTAATTAATAAAGCTGGTAAAAGTTTTTTTTATTCAAAAATGTTTCTCAGCCAAAAATAGCTTTTTCACCAAAACAGAAGTTTCCATAGGAAGTGTCCCTATTATGAAATTTTTTCTGAAGTGGGAAGGGAAAATAGGGGTTGCCAAGAAAGTGAAAACTTGAAAAAATTCAGCTGAAAAATAAAAAAAAATAGTTGTTAAAAAATTTAAAAGTTTCATTTTGGGTGGGGTTTTTTTTTGCAAAATCCTAAGAACTTTTGAAGAAGAATTTTGACAATTTCCCCCCATCTTTTATCATTTCTCATTTTCATGAGAACATTTACGAACTGGCTGTGCTAATTAAGGTCCTGATTCTACAATGAGTTCTTGCAGGCAGACCCCTGTGCCTAGAAGGAGCCCCACTGAATATGGAGGTGCAGGGATCCACCCACATGGATTTAATTGTAGGATGGGGTCCTAAATCATGTCACCCTTGTGAGACAAGTACTGTCCCCATTTTAGAGATAAGGAAACAGACAGGGAGAGGCTGAAGTCACAGGACTTGTCAGTGGGAGAACCCATAGGCGCCAACCTGCTAATGTGCCGGGGGGCTGCTCCCCCTTGGCTCCACCTCAGGCTCTGCCCCACTCCACCCCTTCCCCCAATGCCCCACCCTGTCTCACCTCTTTCCACCCCCACTTCTCCCCTTCCCCCAGGGCACCGCCCACCCCGCCCCCGAGCATGCCCCACCCAGGTCCTCCTGTATGTCGCGGGACAGCTGTTCCCCGGCGGGCGGGAGGCGCTGGCAGAGGTGGGGGGAAGTGCTAATGGGGGGATTCCAGAGGGTGCTGAGCACCCACCATTTTTTTTCCTTTGGCATCTATGGGAGAACCAAACAAACCTAGGAGCCCTAACTCCTGGCCCTTTGTTTCTTCTTGTAGGCATCTTTATAGCTTTAATTTGTAAAGAAACTGAGAATTTTGAGGGCAACAGAGTACCAGAGAACTAGAAGGATTTACTCAGCCAACTGTGACATCTTTGGAGAAGTGACCATTATGAGGGGAGACTTGAGAGCCAGAGATAAAGAATGCTCCATAAAGAGCACTTGACTACAGAATGACCTACCAGAGAAGATTGATTAGATTTTGGGCGCAGTCCTTTTTTCAGTGTGTTGCAAAACTTACATTATTGCTCAAGCTTTCCTGCAATTATTATTTATGATGGTTGGGTGTGGTGTGACAGAGCTCAAATGTGGTCGGGGCTTTCCAAACATTCAAGAAGTGATTGTTCTCATAGGAAGGCGCTCACAATCTAAGACCCTGATCCTGGAAAGAGCCACACACAGGCAGATCCCTGTGCGTCACCACAGTGAAATCAATGGAGGTTCAATGGTGGAACTCATTGCAGGATTGGGATCTTAAGGAGATAGACATAACAGCCTAAAGGTAGTTGAGATATATAAACACCACACCAGGAGACAAAAGAGAGGTCAAGGGGATTAAACTAGTTATGTTATAATAACATTAAGAAAAGAAAAATCTTCTGCTGAATATCAAGCTACAGGTCAAAGTCAGAAAGTATAGTAAATTGTGGAGTCTCTCAAGGGAATAGCGGTGGTTCCATACAAAACTGCATAGGATAAATTTAGTATAAAAACATTGAAGGCAACAATTCTGCACTGGCAAGGAATGGGCCAAATGATATAACAGGCCTTCTCTATCTTTCATTGCTATTACTTTTATTTAAAGAGAAAGTGTAACTGAAGCCTCTGGCAAGCAGACATTTTGATTAATCAGACTTTATTTTTAACCAGATTCATCACATGATGTATAGTAACTCTGATTAATCTTTGAGACTCCAGCAGGATCTGTGAGCTTGCTACAAAGGTAAATTCTCAGACAGGGTTGCCAACTTGGTAATATTCAAAAACCAGACACTCCAGCAGGAGCACTGGAACCTCCCCTGCCCAGCCTCTTCCCCCCAAAGCCCCTCCCCTGCTTTACCTCTTCCCCAACCAATGGGCAAAATCCAGTCCAATTTACAAACTGGAGTGAACAGCCTTTACACAGGAGACCAGTGCTGGCGGCTGGGATTGGAGGAGATGAAATCTTCCTCTTCAATTCAAAGATGAAGTGGAACATTGCCAGTGTTCTACGTCAGGGGTTCTCAACCAGGGGTACGCGTACCCTGGGGATACACAGAGGTCTTCCAGGGGGTACATCAGTTCATCTAGTATTTGCCTAGTTTTACAACAGACTACACAAAAAGCACTAGAAAAGTCAGTACTAACTAAAATATCGTACAAGGCTTGTTTATACTGCTCTATGTATTATACACCGAAATGTAAGTACACTATTTATATGCCAAATTATTTATTTTATAATTGTATGGTAAAAAGGAGAAAGTAAGAAATTTTTCAGTAATAGTGTATTGTGACACTTTTGTATTTTTATGTCTGATTTTGTAAGCAAGTAGTTTCTAAGTGAGGTGAAACTTGGGGGTACGCAAACAAAATCAGACTCCTGAAAGGGGTCCAGTAGTCTGGAAAGGTTGAGAGCCACTGTTCTATGTAGCCTTTTCAGGCTGCTAAATATGGGTTTCCGTCAGTGAATCCTGAATTCACTGGCCACACTGCTCATACTCATCTCTAGCCTCTAACTTTTCTCTATGCTGCTGTGGAGAATGCCACCAGAGGGCAGCGCAAGGGTTATGAAGCCTCTCCACCATAAACTCCCCAAACCATGCTGCAGAACTCACCAAGCCCACCCAAGAGTCAGAAAAGGATTAAACATTCAATTGGACAGTTATAATGAATTAATAATAGCCTC